AAATTGAAGAACTATAAATATTGTGCAATAAATTTGGTTAAGAAGAGATTCGAACCCTACACCTCCAATTTTGTAAGTAGAGGCTCTAACCAAATGAGCTACAAAAGGTGCTTGAAACCAATGAGAATTATCAGATATATATAAAATGTTTATCAACTACTGTCCAAAAAAAAAAAAAAAAAAATTGTTCACAACGGATCCACCACCTAGATCTGCCACTCAGCATATGTATATAAAAAATTCACGAGTCACCAAATTGATTTTGGTATACATTGACAGATGACTGTGCTTATAAAAATTGTTACATTCTAACTACATTGTGATTTTAAGAGAATCGTGTTGATAAAGTGTTATAAAATAGATATAAAAAAAAAAAGTAGAAAAATTAATAGGTCTGTATGTATTTCATTGAGAACTACGGTCCCATATTTATAGGAAATAATTAAGATTACAAATGATACAATAGTCATAATAATTAGTGACACATGAGTACAATGATTATTCATAAATACTAGTTTATCTACAATAATACAATATTATCAAATCTCTTTTGCTGCAAACAAGTAATATCAATAAAAAATTAATTCAAAACACCCATCCTATTCAAAAAATTCAAGTCAAATGGTTTAAATAAGAATATTTAATACACATCATTTTTTGAAATGAGTTGTATGGCACCACCTTTATTGGTATCATAGGTATTGTTTTTCTTCGTTACGTAAACATATAATAGCCACGGGAATTAATTGTTTCATTAAATTCTCACTTTTGACATCCCATATTGAATTTAAGAAAGCCTGCTGTTGAACACGGCACAGCATATGTGATAAATGGGTCCAGAAGTAGGCACCGGCTTTTATTGACATGAAAGTGATAGAAAAGTGTATGACTTTTGCTTTTCTATTTAAATGCGTTTTTTGACTTATTTGCACATGCTTTATTTTGCTACTTGGTGGCCTTTCTCTCTTCTCATATTATAATATATATAATTAAAGGCTACTATTTGCACATGCATTCTTTGGTCTATATTTGAATATTTTTATTCCATTTTGCCGATAGTCAATCATTAGAATTATCATTTCATCCACATTATAATTTCATTGATGAGTTTGTTAATGCACAAGGGGAATTGACAAAAGGAAATTTGTCTATTTCAGTGTGCATGTAATTATTGCCATGGCTTAATTTTTCCACATGAAACTACAATAATAAGTAATTGTAATGTATCAAGGTCGAGGTTTAGTTGAAGTGATAAGAGGTCGAGGTTTAGTTGAAGTGATAAGAACGAAATCTTTTCATATCAATGAAATGGATTCAAGACTTGTATATGAAATTATTATTGAGCAAAACGTATTTTTTACGTTTGAATTACTAACGGTAAAAAAGTTATTGTGCAAAATTATTTTTGTATGATCGATCGATCATGCTCAGTTCCAATTGTTGTGCAAAATTATTATTGTGCAAAACGTATTTTTTTTACTATACATGGGACTATTTTTTTATTTTTTTAAATTTCAAAACAATACAAATAAATTTCAAATAAATAACTAAAAAAGATCTTTTTTAATTATTTATTTTTAATTTCTTTTTTAAATGTGGAAGTATAATTGCAATTTGTTCTTTATTTTTGTTTATTTAAGAGGAAGTTTTACAGTTTTTAATTTAGAAGATTGATAAAAATAATGATTTTTGCAATGAAATATAAAACTAAGGGTGAAAATGTCAAAAAATAAAAGGAGAGGACTTTTTGCACAATAATATTGAAAGGTATGGATGTTTTGTGCTAACTACCCTTTTAATATTTTTATTTGAACTTATTTGCATTTTTTAAAAAAGTTTGGGAGTATGATTGCAATTTATTTATTAACTTTTTTTTATTGTTTTATTTAATAGGGGGTATATTTGTTGTTTTACATGAGAAATGTGATGAAAATGATTATTTTCACAATAAAAAGTGAAGGTAAGGGTAAAAAAAAAAAAAAAAAAAAAAGTATGAACGTTTTGCACAATAACATTGAAAGGTAAAGACATTTTGTGCTAATTACCCTAAATTTAAACATTAAAAATTAATTTGTGTCAATTTGGTTACTAGACTTCAATTTAGTCTCATTGTGGGTGATTGCAAGTGAATTTAGTTTCAGGCTCCGTTCGATTCACATTTTTATCAAAATGCATTTTTCTCTCTTCTTTTTAGTCACACATTTTTCATTAAAATAATATTACACGTAAATCAAAAACTTGTCATCCACATATTTTCCATCAATCAACTATTCTAAAATTCATTTTTCCTTAAAAATGGATGTCAAACATCCTCTCAATTGGATTACTAACTTCAATTTATTTTCAGATTTAATCACTCCATCACGTCATCTTCCAAAAACGCAATTATATTAACTCAATTAGCAATCCTACTGTAACATATCTACATAATCATTGCATGACAAGCCAACTTATAGATACACCACTATTGAATAAGAAAATGCAAAGGAATGAACAGGCAAACTCATAACACTTCCATACGAGGCATGAATTCCGATAGGCTATTAAAAATGTTAAGCATAAAAAGTTAGCAGGCAAGAGGGGCGACCCATCCCCTTTGAATTCCACGTGGTAGAAATCGTTAAAGTACACATGATTGAGTATTTAAAGCGTGACTTTGAAATCAATAGGTACAGGACACATATATGAATATATAATAGAATCACTTAGGAATCCACCATTAAATGACTACTACATGTCATAAAAACCCAATTGCCCTCAAGGACTTCACGGAAATCTACAAATTGTCATGTCCAATGGAAAAGGGACAAATTCAAATATCTCTATCCTAAATAGTCATTTCCCCTCTTGCTCCTTGCTGAGCATCAAGCGCTGCGAGTTTAGGAGGAGAAAATTCCGACCACGTGAGAAGCAGTTGTTGATTATAATTTTGTGGTCAACAACCACATCATAAAAATGTAAAACATGTCTTTTAACCTTCCAACATAAAAATATTATCATGACCCTCATTTTGCGTACATTTTTCTTTTATAAGTGTCACATAGCAATTTCGTAGAAGATCAATTTCCTCCAGTTTGGAAGATGATAGGTGATAATGATGAAATTGAAATAAAATTAATGCTCATAGACCCAATTGAAATAAATTGGAGTTTAATGACTCAATTGAGAATTTCCTGAAAATTCAATGACCAATGATAACATTTCCTAATACTTTCTATCACTATGTGGCATGTGCAAAGCATGTCCCTTTCTATAGATGAGATTTGGACCACACTAACAAAAATTTACACGGAACAGAATAAATATTTTTCTATTAATTGCTTGTGTTATTGAGATGCCCCTTTTGAAATGTTACATGTATTCAAACTTAAATTAAAAACATAGAAATTTTCAAAAGTATGATTAAAAATCATTGTCTCATTTGAATATTAAACTTCAAAAAATACAAATCCAAATGCCTAAACTAATCTAGGTCCCGTTTGAAAGGGATTTTGAGAATTGATTTTTTGACCGTTAGAAGAAAAGTGGGGTCCATCTGTGAGAGAATAAATCAAAAATTACGACTGAAATAATAAAATAACGAAAAAAATCCCTCCCAAACAGGCTACTAATCTAATCTAAACATTTAGGCTGCTTACAAAGGTCCATATGTATTAACTCTCGTGCTAACGAGATGGTTTGATTAGTTCGGCACATACACAATTGTTATAAATAGGTGATGACACAATTTAAATTAACAATTTCAACTAAAATCTTTTGCTTTTGAGAATAAATCAAAAATTACGACTGAAATAATAAAATAACGAAAAAAATCCCTCCCAAACAGGCTACTAATCTAATCTAAACATTTAGGCTGCTTACAAAGGTCCATATGTATTAACTCTCGTGCTAACGAGATGGTTTGATTAGTTCGGCACATACACAATTGTTATAAATAGGTGATGACACAATTTAAATTAACAATTTCAACTAAAATCTTTTGCTTCTTATAGAGGGATAAATTTGATACCCTATATTGAACACAAACTTCCAAGACTATGCCATTTCCATTTTGGATTTTTTCTTAGAAAAAAAATTGAAATTCTTCGAAAACTCTACAAAACGATTGGAAATTTCAAAATATTTCCTAATTTGTTTAAAATAAAATTCCAAAACCTTGAGGATCTTCACGGAAACTCTTTAGGAAAGTTTTGTTCAAAAAACATTTGATAACTTGGAATAAGAACTGTACATTATTATTGACTTCATGTGGGCTTGAAGTAAAAATTAAATTTAATTAAAAAAAATTTATATAAGTTCAGTCTTTAATTCTTAATTGTACTACAAAAATTTAACAAGCTATTATAGTTTGAATTACTATTAAGCCCCCGTTTAGTAGTAACTTTTCACCCAAAAAAATCAATTTTTTTATCGTTATTTCATTATTTTAACTATCATATTTTACTTTATCACTCATAGGTGGGTCCAATTTTCTCTCCAACGATCAAAAAATCAATTTTCATAATCATAACTGAGCAGACCCTAAATATCGTTTCAAAATTAAATATGATATCTATAATTTTCTAGACAATATTTCCCTAACGTTTTGTCTCATAATCTTTTCAATGATAACATTTCCAAGGATCATGCCATTGTCACACTTCATTTTCTTATTTCAATTTCATTTAGAAAGTTAAACTATTTATCAACACGCGAATTTATTTATTTTAATCATATATTCAACACTATCTATGCATCTTGATACTCGAACAAGAGTCGTGCAACGGCCATATCCACTTTACAAATTGAATGCTTCAGAGGCATTTTGGTTTCTGACTGGTCATAGATTAGATTCAAATTGGCAATCGACAAAATAAAATAATATAGCAGGAAGGAAAAAAAAAAAAAAAAGGCAAATTCCAAAATTAGGGTTCCAATTTTCAAAATGTTTTACCAGAAAAGTTAAGGGATAAGAATATTTTAACCAAAGTCCAGCCCGCACACCTTCGACAAAGTCCATGTTCTCAGACTACACAACAGCCATTAATTTATAGCTGCATTTGTATTCATTGAATCATTCTTTTCTGGAAATATCTCATACAGTAGAAATGGGAAATTCTGATGGAATTAGAGTTAGGAAATACCGGAAATCTTCCGTTCCACGTTTGCGATGGACGTCTGATCTTCATCAACACTTTGCTGAAGCAGTTGAGCATCTTGGTGGGAAATACAGTAAGTCTGATCACTTATTTGAAGAGCTATTTTGGTGATAATTCTACGAAAATATATGATTTCAAATCCTCTCAATTTTGGATGATTTTTATGCACAGATTTCTATCAACATACGTGGTTTTGTATGCTAGTCAAGGATAGTTATTTAAACATTAAATTTGAATATAAACTGTAATTTCTCTGACAAATTGAATCAATTGTTCATTTTCTTCTTGTCTTTGGATTATATGTAATAGTTAAAATGAATATTTGATATGACAGAGGCAACTCCAAAGCGGATTCTGCAAAGGATGGATGTCAAAGAACTAAATATTGCTCATATCAAAAGCCATCTCCAGGTAACCCTTATTTTTTTTATTTTTTTTTTTAACTTTTACGCCTTCGTCCCAATCGTCCCCGAAAAATACGTGCGTATAAAATACTTTTCATATTGTGTGCAATCCCAAAATTTTGTGAAGTACGTGCGGGTACTCCAATTGACCTTGCAATTAAAAAGAATAGACCTTAATTTTAATTCAGAAATTGTCATATGCAATCTCATATAATTGATTTCACAAATGGAGAATTTAGAAATTCGAATGATAATGGATAAATTTTACATCGACTAAATATGAATATAAGTCAGCGTATAACAATTTGAGCTTCTCTAAATAGCATATACTTTCTACGAATCATTCACATTTTCTCTCTAATTATATATACTTAGCACACAGTACTAGAACATATATATGAAAAAGAATAAAGAACAAGATTTGTTTGTTGTAGACAACACTATAAAAGAGGAATTGGATAAGTATTGGACCACTAAGAAAATTCATAATTAATAGGGAGACTGATTAACCTTGCTTGAATTTCAAGTTAAAGAACTTGAAAAAAAAAATTTTAATTAATTTTAGGCATTAGGTTTTGTAGATGTCTAGATTCAATTTGTACCTACGGAGACGTTAGAAATTGTAAAATAATGTTAACTAGGTACGTAGGTAGGTTAGGCATGCTAAAATTAGGAGTTTAAAATAATATTTACAAAATTATTCTAGGTAGATGGGCACTACAACGTGATGTAGCCACAATGTTTTTAGATTTTCATGTTAGATTTTACAAAACTTTAAGCCTCCATCTGATCCCCGTTAAATTTCATTCCATTTTTCTCTATCTTAATTTTAATCACACAATCTTTCAAAATATATATATATATATATATATATATATATATGTAAAATGAATTTTTTTTTTCAATTACTCATTTTTCAAAAAAAAAAAAATATTATTCCACTCATTTTCATTTCAAAAAAACGATGCCCAAGCATGTGCTAAATCTAAAGAATTTGAAAATCCTTTAGACTTTATTACCAAAATCCTCCAGTCAAATTACTAAGAGGATAATTAAATGTAAAACATATCTTGATTTATTGAGCATGATTTTTTTATAACGGATCTTCATTCTAGATCTTGAATTGCGTGTTCTTGATTATAGCATTTTCATCTTGATCGTCTATTCTTGATCGGGAGTTTTGAATCTTTCTCTTCAATATGTTTTCTTGTATTTTTGTGTTGATGGAATGACACAGAGAATGAAATACAACCCAAAGGAATTGGTCCCTACACATGTTTAAGCTCATACTTTATTTAGATGTCCAAAGTTCAATAACTTTAAATTTTTATTAGATCACTTCAAATGAGTTTAATCTTAAAATAACCTTTAATACACAATTACACGTATAGTCCCCCGTAACAAATTAAGAAAAATGATTGGTGTACAGATTTATTCTTATAGAACATTTACAGAAAACTCAAAAAGGTGTGGGTCCTATCTGAATGAACAATATCCAAAATTAACCCACCCTCCATGTGAGGTGTCGATAGGGCCTACCTGGACACCAATCATAACTCACAAATTAAAACTCAACATTTCATGCTAAAATTAATAAGCCCAAGGCAGTCACGTGGGCCTCAGTTGCACATCGATCAAATGCAACAGAGGATCAATTTCATTAATGCTAAGTTTGCTTGTGTTTTATTTAGGTTTCTTTTATTTCTGTGTTTTGATTAAAATTTAAGACAAGTAGTTCGTTGGTTGTCTTTTATTATATAAGAAAACGATTGGATTTTGTTTATGCGCTCTTACTGCTTGTTAGTTGGCTGCAACACAATGATTTTATTGTGAATTAATGTAAGCAATTCTGTGTTGATGCTTATTTTTTGTCATTTATTCTTCAGATTTTGTCAAACATTTTGAAAAGGGGAAGAGAAACTAAAATTAATATACGAGTATGAGAGTATCGCTTGAACTATATCACAACATTAACCGAGCTCACATATGGCTTTAACGGATTTTAAAAAATACTAGAGCCTCAAGATGGCGAAGAGTTGACATCAAACCTTCGTATTGACTAAATTAAATATTTCTTATGATATAGTTTGATTAACAAAGTACAGAAAAAAAATCACACACTAAACTTCAAATTCACATATTTTATTTCCCATTTGGATTTCCTAATATTGTAGTTCGTTACAATTTTTGTTGATTATTAATGATTTAATCTTTGACGTAACTAAGCATGAATATATTTTTTTTCCTTATTCCAAAGTTTGATTAGTAGTATTCTATAATCAGATGTACAGAAGCACGAAAAAATGCGGCAGTATAAACGTCTTTGTACCCATCAAGAAATATCAAGAAGGAGAACGAGAATACAATATTTTTGGGTGCCCTCTAAGACTATCTCCAACTGCGCACCAAAATTTGAGGTAAATTTTGCTCCATTTTAAATCAAACCTTACGACAAACTAAAAATTATCTCCAACCCATTTTGGAGATGAAGCCCTAAGGTAAGTACAATATATTCATCTTCTTTAGACAAATTCTTTAAGCACTTTTCTAACTGTTTATAATGTATGTGAAAAACATTTCAGCTTAATACTCAAATTTCAAATGAATATATATGAAATCACTTAGAATTTAGGGTCCGTTTGATTACAAAGATGGAATTTGGGTGAAAAGAAAACGAATTCCAGGGAATTGAATTGCCTACAAATTGTTTTTCTGATAATTATAAATTATTGTGTTTGATTAGTATAATTTTTCACATGAAAAATGTTGAAATAAAAGTATTTTTTTGTGTTCGTTTGACTTTGTTTTATATGAAAATTGTCAATTAAAGAGATAGAATTTACTGGTATTGGGAATAAAATTTGTTTCCATTGTCAACAAAATAATAATAATAATAATAATAATAATAATAATAATAATATATCTTTTAATATTCGTTTGACTTTGTTTTATATGAAAATTGTCAGTTAAATGGAAATATTTTTTTACGATAATTCTTAAAATTTGTTTCCATTGCCAAAAAAATAAAAAATAAAAGATTAAAAAATTAAAAAAAATGTTACAGTAACCAAGAATTCTGGTGAGAATTGGAATTCGAGGAAATCCAAAAAAATAATAAATTTCTAGAAAATGGGGAACTTCAATTCCATTGAAAAAATAATCCTATCAAGCAAGCAAAAGTTGGAAAATGGCAACCAAATTCCATTTTCCATGAAAAAAATGCAACAATCAAACATTGCCTCATTGAAAATTCATTGCATGATTTAAGCACCATAGAAACTATTGACCTCAATTTCCATAATATAGAAATACTTAAGTTGGTAAAGATTTTTCAAATTTATAAACTTGTCAAATATCATTTTTATCGATACATTCACAACTTGTATTCAATTTTTATCCACAAATTCCGTAGGATTCACAACTTATTAATCTACATTTATTTATTTATTTATTTAACAAAACTTATACTACTATTTTAATCTTAATCCTACACTTTATATGATCTGGCAGTCATGTTTACATCACGTTTTATTGTATTTTTCACATAATAAGTGCGATTTTATGCACCACGCAGACAAGTTTCCGAAGAATTAGGAGAACAACCAAGTAAGAGGAATCAAGTTAAAGGCTGTGAAGGAAAAAGTAGGAGTTTCCAAAGCAGAAAACATATGCTTAACCACAAGAACCAGGTTAGTCCCTATATCTTCTGTAATATTACAATAAATTTCATTTTAACAATGTAAATTTTTCTGTAAAAGGTCATGTTTTGGTTGTTTCGTCAAAAAAAAAATGATCGTCTAGATACATTTTTAGACAAAAACTTCATTCCTAAAACTGAAATTTTTCTTGTGAATTCAAGTTTTATAAATAATTTCACATACATATAAGGAGTAACAATATCTGAGTTTAATCTGCAGGACTCGGGAAAAAGCACAACAAGTGATGAATTGAATAAGGAAGATCAAGATGGTGATGTTCAAATTGAAAATTTTAGCTTGACACAAGAAGCTATTTTACATGAAAAAACCTTTCTACCCAATTATCAAATTAACCTTGAATTGACTATCTCATCAGGTGTCTCAAACTAATACTTATGCCCTATGATTTGTCATAGCAGTCTGTATATGTAGGCACTTCAAATTTTATATTAATGTCGTCACCGAATATATGAAAAGTTTTGTCTCGTGTATCTTGTTCTTTAATTTTATCTTGCCTTATCTAAAGTACATGTTTTTAAGTTGATGGGTTGCGAGTTGCTTATGTATGTTCGCCCAACCCATATAAATATATGGATAGGTGGGCTGAGTAAACTTTTGGGTTCAAAAGTTAACCACCCATAGCTCCGTGCATATAAATAGTTAAATGCACATGCCAAAGGGAGTTATATGCACTATAAGAAATGCAAATTTCGTATCTAATATTCTTATTGCAAAAGGAATGCTCAAAACTTTGTTCTAATATAATAATCAAACGATACGCTAATACTTGAATTCTGGGCATAGTTCTTCAATCTTCATTTTCTGAATTGTAAGCATATTACACTTCTATCCTCGTGAAAACCGGGCTCAGTTTCAACACCAAATACCCAAATACCAATCAAACACCACCTCTCATAGGCTCAACCCAACATTAAATCCTCACTATGGTTGCCCTCTTGTAAACATTACCCAGTAAGAATAATATGATGGTTACAATATCACAAAGGGAAAAGAGAAGAAGAAGAAGGAAGACACCAAGCGAAGCTCTCAATTGCAAGAAGGAACGGCCGACTCTCTTTTCTCTCTACTACACACACACACGGCAATACAAGAAAGAGGCTGGAATATACAGATTAGGTGTAATCCAAAGATGGGCTCAAGCTAAATTGGCCAAAGCATAATGGGCTAACACTAGACAAATTTGGCCAAGGCATAACAAACCTAATAAACTAAAGGGTCGTTTGAACACACCATGAGCAACACAAATTAATGACTACTTCCAGTGAGATCCCAATTTGTTTTCGGATCGAGCCAATCAATTGTAGTATCGATATAATTATTCTAACAATGTTTTAACATCATCATCCGAATTTATTAGATATCAAAATCCAACAAATCTCCACATTGATGCCTAATGAACACGCAAGCAAACAATACTGAGTTTATACTTACCTAATCAAGATAACCAAATAAAATTGGATTACAGATGTTACCTCGCGTCTCGGACCTGAAACATATGCATACGTGCTACATGTACTCGCCTAGGCTAGAGTCAAGAAAACTCAAGTAGAAACAGATAATAACAGCAATCATCAAGAGAGTATAAAACAAGCGATGAAGATATAATATAGGATGATACAAAGATCTTTCGAATATATTCAAAAAGCAAAGAACATCTAACTAACACTAAGTTAATCAATCGAAATGGGCAATGACGATTTTATCCCGTAAGTAGACGGATCGTAACAAGTAGTAACGTAGACCTTTTGAGTCCGGATTATCATTCTCACGAGGAATATACTTTAATACTCAATTTATTATTCCTAACTTCTATTTGATGAAACTAAACAAACAAAAAAATGATTGAATGTGCTTCTTAAACTAACTACTAAAAATCTCGTGAATGCAATAGAAAATGAGTGAGAATTCAAATAATGAATGAATATTAGGTTGGAACAAATTCACCGATTAGTCACCTTTACTCCTAATATCGAGATTCATAAAACTAAAGTAGTATTTGGTCGAATTCTTCTACAGTATTTAATTTACCCCTCTCGAATTCTCATTGAGCCTATTTAAATAATTCAATTTCATATCTCTATGCGAATCAGCATTATTTAAATGAAATAATAGTTCTAAGAATTCTTATAGAATCGCAATAATTAATATATGTGTCTCTACAAGTTATATTAATTTACCGGATTATAATATGTGGTTTAAACAAGAATCCCTATCTCTACATAATTATTGTTCATGAAATCATTGAATAATTATCAAGGAAATTCAAAGCATTGAGAACATAATTAAAATCCACACATAAAATATAAAAGAACACAAATCTCAAATAAAAGAAATAAAGGTCCCAAATAGGTTATATTATTCGTCCTAAAATTAAATTTAGCTACGCATATTAATGGAGGAAAAACAAGAAATTATGAAATTCATCAGCCGGTTATTTGATGAAACGTGAATAATTTGCGAAGTAAATCTGCATTTTTCATCGTGTTACCGTCTTTGCCGTGTATGTGTGTGTAAACTAGCCGACAGCTTTTTTTTGCAATTCTCCCGGCAGTAATGTTTGACCACTCCAACTGCCTCAATTTCTATTTTTATATATGATAGAATCCGACAGCAACAGCCACTTTTCCCCTCCTTTTTTGTGTGTATCTCACTTGCAGCCGCAATGTTTGACTTCAAAATGGACTCTAATCTCTGCACTCTTTGTATCAGTTCCTATGTTCCTGTGTTTGTGTTTATATATGGCAGGCAGCCCACTTTCTTGAAAGATTAGAATTCTAGTTGCCTATTGAATCATATTTCAAATGCAAGTCCAATTCTTTTATTATAATGCAATTCAATCATTGCCCAATTAATTTGTTGCAACCCACGTACTCTTTGATTCATTTCAAGTCCTTTAATTTTCAAAGTATGAAATTTAATCTCCAAACTTCGCATCCAATGCCTATTTAGTACTCGTACTTTGGATTTTCTTATTTTTCTCCCTTTTGCTTCATTCCTTCAATTTCCTTTTCATTTATAGAATTTCACCTATTAAACATAAAATAGAAAAATTTAGAATATAAATTGTCACAAGAACCATCAAATATTACTATTTTACGCATTGAATAAGTGTATAAAATACACTTATCAAATACCCCCAAATTTAAACATTTGTTTGTCCTCAAACAAAGCTATAAACTAAATAATAATCAACACACAAGCATACAAAAATATTTGGTTAGACAGTTTAGCTTTTTACCACAGGAATTGAGATAACGGTATTAAATCTACAAACCATTTCAAAGTCATGTTATTAAACCAATATTCACACTTCCAATGTAAAATCGACGTGTGTGTGTGTGTGTGAAGAATTAAGTAGACATTAATGACTTCAGAAGTTATTCCAATTTTCGACCCTTAATGGTCATAAATGTCCTTTCATCACTCATAAGACTCACACACCCTCAAACTTATTCTTTTTCACTATTTTCCAAGCGTGTCATCAAATGCTGANATGTCCTTTCATCACTCATAAGACTCACACACCCTCAAACTTATTCTTTTTCACTATTTTCCAAGCGTGTCATCAAATGCTGACTTATTTATTACTATCCTCACCCTCTCGAGTTTAGGTGGACGTTACTAGTTGTAAGTCAACACTTCAGTGAACAAGGATTCTCCAATTATTTGATTGCTTCGACCTCTAAGACTCAACTAACTAATCATCTTGCATCAAAAGTCAAATTTCCTCAAATAAGTATAAGGGCTTAACTAAGGTATTTAGTGCGTTTGTACTTTTCATGCACTTGCTTTTTTCTAGTTTTTCACAAGTTTTTTTATTTATTTATTTACATTCTCTCCATTAAGCTTTTTAGATGACCCATGTAGCAGACTTTAGACCGATGACTCCCAAATCAGATGATTTTAAGGCACCAGGTTTTAAACACCCTTATAGGCTTACCAACTCGAGTCAAAAGGGCTTCAAAGAGAACAAATTTTTTTTCAAGTACAACTTCTTCCCTGATTGCTCTCTAAATAACCCTTGCAACGAGTTTTAGGCCGATGACTCTTAAGTCATACGACTTTAGGGCACTAGATTTTAAGATACACTTACAGGCTTAATTACTCGAGTCATAAAGGTTTCAGAGAGAAGTTTAAAATTTTAAATGTATATATCTTGATTAGTGCAATGCCCCTTATCACACACTTATTCAAACAAACCGACCTCTAACTTAAGACTTTTGCAAAGTTTTATCTTGTTAGTTTAAGACAATCCACACATAAATTTTCACACATGAAATCCACATTCACATCCACATCTTCCTAAAACTGTAAAATCAACCCTAAACTGTGTTAAATTTGGTCTAAGTATTGATAATTTATTATGGTTTATATAAAGTCTCTATATCCAACTAGATCAACCTATCAAAGCAAGAAACAACTCATTTAATTACAATGTCAAACTCAATTTTAGTGCGCTTGTAATATCAAGTTTTACAATGCTAAGTTTCAATTAGTCTAGCATGCATCCTATCACAGTTTATAAATCAACGTCAAATCTCAAATTAAGTCATCATTGTCTGTTAGACTGTCTACCCACAGAAGCACACGGTTGAATAAAAGAGAAATGTTTTTATTTAAACAAACACACAAAAATATAAAAACATACGAAAAACAAAAATTAAAAGTTGTTTTACCCCCAAACTTAAAAGTGACATTGTCCTCAATGTCATATAACATAAATAAGCATATAAAGTGGTAGGGAAGAAAAGGAAGAATGTACTCCTCAAAGTTTTCTGTTGAATGTATGAGGCACTGTGTGTGACGGTTGGATAATCTTCTTCATCGTGCTTTCCCTTGTGTTGGTTTGAGTGTTACACGATGTCGTGTTCTTGAAAAATCAATTTTCATAAATTAAACAAATGGAGCAAGGATTACTTAGCTCAAACAATCAAAATAACCAACAATAAATTCAAGGGCATATGGGCAGAAGGGGTATGGGTAAGGACTCCTAAATAAACTAATAAATAAACTAAACTATCTTATAACTTGAAAACAAAATAAATAAAGGAAAGAAAGCTTGGGTTGTCTCTCAAGAAGCGCTTCTTTTAAGTTATTGGCTGGACTTTGTACCGCCATTATTCTAAAACAATAAGTTCAAGGCTCTCTTTAGCGGTGAAAAACTCCTCCACATGATGTTTGATGCATTGTCCATTAACCGTGAAAGTTTCCTTTGTCTGACGATGTAGTTCAATTGTGCCGTAGGGAAACACTTGAGAGATAGTGAAAGGGCCGGACCATCTCGATTTCAATTTTTCTGTGAAGAGCTTAAGTCTGGAGTTATACAAGAGGACTTGATCTCCCATATTGCCTGATATTCTTGTCATGCCGCTGCTTCGTCCTTTCCTTGTAGATTGATGCATTCTCATATGCTTCTCTTATGAATTCTTCCAATTCATGTAGTTGTAGTATTCTTGTTTCTCCAGCCTTCTCTAGTCTATGTT